GATATGTAAATATTATGTAATTATGATTAGGATTTGATAGGATATGATATTATCATAATGGGCCATTAATGCAGAGGCTCCTCTCACTTGTATATATATGTGTATATTCTGATCAATGAAATACAAGAGAATTATTTTCCATATTATTCTATTTCCTACAGATGTCAATACTTATACAAAAGTTATGAATGACTAGCAGTCAAAGTTAAGTAATTAACTTATATGCGTGTATGCGCGTGTTTGCATTATATTTATATGGAGAGCAAAACATTGATAGTCCAATGGTCATTCCTAATTTTGACATAAACCCCCACGTGGTCAACCATTTTTCCAAAAAAATTCCTCCCATCAGTTAGGGGTGTCCAATTTGTTCCCATGGGATGAGGCAGTCCCGTCCTAAGGTATTTACTATATATATATATATATATATATATATATTTTAAAAAAATTCACTTATTAATTGGGCTTCTTGCATAATAATTTTTAGACATTTAAATGTCTTTTCTGCTGCTCTATATAGTGTTTCTTTTACAGTGATGTGTATGGCTAAACATGAGCTTGAGAATATAAATTGAAGAGAACATTAGTGTTGTTTTTTTCCCAGTTATTTTCAGGTCTTCAGTTCAAAATGGCATCACAACAAAAAAAAAATTTCCTGAGAAAAAAAATTCATTAAGTCATTACATAGTATTTAATTTACAATTTTTTTGCTGTATTTTTTGTGCATCCTGATTTCTTTACTGTATAATTGAACTTGCTGCATAATAATTTTTTCTAGTGTTTTTATCTTCAAAAACCCAATAAAAAAACACATTAGTACGTAAAAAGAAAGACCCAAAATGCTAACCCAAAATTTTAGTGGTTGAGGACAAAATTGAGATTTTAAAATTTGTTGAAAAAGACGAAATCGTCTTTTTTTTTTTTGTTAAAAAAATAGTTGTTGGCTAGCTACTAGAGTTTAGGTGACCGGCGCCTTGTTTGAACTTTGACAATAGCCATCAGCACCAGAGCTTTGGTGACTGGCTAGGCGGTGAGGGTGCTTTTTTTTTTTTAAAAAAAAAAGATAATTTAGCCTTTTCAGCAAATTTTAAAATCCAACTTGGCTATGCGTGTTCAAAAGGAAATTATCATTATTTAGGTGACCAAATGGGAATTTTCAAATTTAAGTGTAATTTTTGTGTCATTTTCCCTTTAATATTTTCACATTTTTTTGTCATTTTTTGTTGATAGTTATATAATTTTATATATGTCTTTATTACATTGTATTTTGGGGCATTCTATATTTTCAAATTTTATAAAAAATACTCCATATTTCTAATTTATGACGCGTTAATTTTTATTGAAATAATCAAGGAAAAATTAATATTTTTAATTCTTATAGTTTTAATTTTTAACTTGGTTCTAATTCAACAGAGTTGGCTTCTCTTTGCTATCTCATTTCGTTGGCTACCGTCTCCCAAGGACGGAGGTTGAATACTTTATTTTTCAAATAGCATCAAATATTTTCAAATATTCTTTTAATAGCATCTATTATTCTAAAATAACTTTTTGGCATACTCAAATGCTAAAGAAAATTTTCAAAAGCACTCAATACCTTCAAATTAATTTTTGAAACACACTGCACACTTAAATATTTTTTAAATAACACCCAATATTCTAAAGTAATTCTTAATCCATCAAGCCCCATTAAGTACTTCTTAAGTTTTGGATGCTTGAACTACTGAGAAAAATATTTTAGAATATCGGGTACTACTAAAAAAATATTTTAAGATGTTAAGTGTATAAAAAATTATTGTAAGATATTAGGTACTGCTGGAAAATGTTTTAAAATGCTGAAGGTATTAAAAATTATTTTAGGATACTAAGTGCTATTGGAAAAATATTTTAAGGTATTGAGTATACCAAAAATTATTTTAAAATATTTTAAGATACTGAATATATTAAAATTATTTTAATATATCAAGTGCTACTAAAAAATATTTCAAAATAATGAATGTTATTTTAAAAAAAAGAATTCAACACTCGCATTTTACACCCACAATGTTGCAGTTTTGGGCAGAGGAGGCAGGGGAGAGAAGGCATGCCATAAGTCATGTTATAATATAAATTTTAGGACATGTATAGAATTTCCAAGCGTCGTCTTATCATATGATTATGAAATTTCCTTAGTCAATTTTGTTAACAATATCGGCAACAACTTTACAAGTTTAAAACTCATTTATAAAGGACTTAATTAAATCCTAAATAATACAAAAATTTACAATATATTTTATTTTATCAAAATCAGAACTAAAGTGAAAAAGTATGATATAAAAAATAAAAAGTAACCCTAATTCCAAGAGCTTTTAGAGATATTTGAGTCGGTTGTAAATATAAGACGTTAATTTATTGGGAGAATCACAAATAAAGACCCTCCAATATGCAAAATAATAGATAGGTTACCTGAATAAGTGAAATTACTTACAAGGATCGGGTCTCAAATTGCAATTATGAAATCATGGCCAAATTATCAAAATACCCCTCTTTAATTTTTTTTTTAATAAAAAGAAAGCTACTGCCTCACCGGAATCTGGCCACCGGAGCTCCGGCACTGGCGGCCGCTTCCGGCCACTACCGGCGGCCTTCCTTTGTTTTTTTTTTTGCAACTGCTTTTTTTTTTTTAAATAGTGGGGGAAGTGAGGTTGGGGGGATTTAATCCCCCAACCTAATGCTTCCCAAAATAGGGAATGACCATTAAGCCAACAAATTTTTGTTAACATTATAATGCAAAAAAAATAATAAGTTAACTCATTTACTCTTGTTCCAGGTGATAACAACAATACATTTGGAAATAACAAGTTCTGATTGTAAAATAACACGTCTGGAATAAAAATTTAACAATATGTTTTTTTATAACAATAAATTTTGTTGCAAGTAATAACAACAATACATTTAAAAATAACAAGTTTTGATTATAAAATAACAAGTTTGGGATTAAAATTTAACAACACGTTTTTTTTATAACAACACACTTTGTTTCAAGTGATAACAACAATACATTTAAAATAACAAGTCTGGGATTAAAATTTAACAACACATTTTTTATAACAATTAATTATTTTATACTTTTGAAAAATAAATTATTTATAACTTATAAAAAATATTTTTAATATATTTATTTCTCTAAAAAATACTTTTTAATCTATATATCTATACAACTCATTATAAATCAAACTACTTCTTATAAATTATAAAGTATTTATAATTAGGTATTTTTAATCTATTAATCATAGTATAAATTTTATATTATTTCATTCTTTAAATATTAAAAATAGTTTTTATATTTAAAGAATAAAATAGTATTTTTAATTATAAATTAGAGATAAATTTCTTTATAAATTTAAGCAGTCAAAAAGTATTTTTAATCCACAATAAATTGTACTATTTATAATTTATAAGAAGTAGTTTGATTTATAATAAATTGTATAGATATATAGATTAAAAAAATTTTAAAAAAATTAAAAAAGTGTGTTGTCATTTTCCCTAAATTTTATTTATAAATTTGAACAATAAAAAAGTATTTTTAATCTATAAAAAATTATACTTCAAGTTCTGATTATAAATTGGAGATAAAAATTATTTTTTTAGCAAATTAAATAGATTACAAGTACTTTTTATAAGTTATAAATAATTTATTTTCCAAAAGTATAAAATAATTAATTGTTATAAAAAAAGGTGATGTTAAATTTTAATGCCAGACTTGTTATTTTATAATCAAAACTTGTTATTTCCAAATGTATTGTTGTTATCACTTGAAACAAAGTGTGTTGTTATAAAAAAAACGTGTTGTTAAATTTTAATCTCAGACTTGTTATCTTATAATCAGAACTTGTTATTTTAAATGTATTGTTGTTATCACTTGAAACAAAGTGTGTTGTTATAAAAAAACGTGTTATTAAATTTTAATCCCAAACTTGTTATTTTATAATAAGAACTCGTTATTTTTAAATTTATTGTTGTTATTACCTGCAACAAAATTTATTGTTATAAAAAAAATATATTGTTAAATTTTTATTCTAGACGTGTTATTTTACAATCAGAACTTGTTATTTTCAAATGTATTGTTGTTATCACCTGGAACAAGAGTAAATAAGTTAACTTATATTTTTTTTTGCATTATAATGTTAATAAAAATTTGTTGGCTCAATGGTCATTTCTTATTTTGGGAAGCATTAGGTTGAGGGATCAAATCCCCCCAACCTCACTTCCCCCACTATTTAAAAAAAAAGCAGTTGAAAAAAAAAAAAACCAAAGGAAGGCCGTTGGCAGTGGCCGGAAGCAGCCGCCGGAGCTCCGGCAGCCGGTGGCCGGATTCCGGTGAGGCAGTGGCTTTCTTTAAAAAAAAAAAATCAAAGAGGGGTATTTTAGTAATTTGGCCATGATTTCATAATTGTAATTTGAGACCTGGTCCTTATGAGTAATTTCACTTATTCAGGTGACCTGTCTGTTATTTTGCATATTGGAGGGTCTTTATTTGTGATTCTCCCTAATTTATTTTATCTTTTAAAACTATAATTTTTTTAACTATGCTTATGAAGGCACATGTTAGGAAGGGTTTTCTATCAAGAAATTAGTTTATATTATAATATAAATGATTAAAAGATACTTTAGAGAAACTAATGTGCATTTTTTTTTATAATTCAAGCATCTTCAAATTATTTTGGATTTGAATCTAGTCTAGACAATGCGTAAAAGTTAAAACCCTTCTAAATAAGTGTGTTTTTCATGATTTGAATTCATTTTCTCCTTCTCATAAAAATAAAACTACTTGCTATCTTACTCAATAATTATTGGTTGATTAACAGTACTCTATTTTTACATTCCTCTTGCAATTAGAGGAGGAAGTACTTTACATATATAGCATATTCAATTTTGTGTAAGATCATTAAATGGATTATTCTATGGGCTCACGGCCCATATATAACAAGAACGATGAACTAAACCCTTCCTGGGTTTCTGAATTTGCCCCCTCAAATACCGCACGCCTGCAAGTGCCGTATTGCCTCCGTCCTGCGCATGGCTTCCTGGTCTTGAGCTTCCCCTCTTCTCTGTCAATTTTAGTTAACACGACAAGTTTCGATCTTCTGACTCCAAAACTCTACCAGTAGCTACAGAGAAGTTTGAGCTTTGGTATAAGAACAACAAACACGCGCAGATACCCTTTTTCCCCCCTCCAGCTACGCCTGAAGGGCACGATGATATCGGCCATTTCTTGGGTCCCCAAGGGGGCTTTAAAATCCCAACCCGTCATGGCCGACCCTCCTTCAAAGGAGGAGATGGAGAACTTAATTAACAGCGTTAACATGGAGAGGAGGTACTGCTCCCCCCCCCCCCCCGGGGCGGCAGTTCTGGTCCTCTATCTGTTCATCAATTTCTGTTTGTGCTTTAGTGATTGGTGGATTCAATTCAATGATTGCCCATGCTAATGCCGGTTGTTCTGTTTGGTTTTATTATGTTTTTTCTGTGCTTCATTTGTTAGTCTGTCTTCTGGTGTCTCATATATTTTCTTCCAGTTTTGGTTGTATTTTTTTTGGGACAATGGGATAGGACGAAAATAGTAAGAAATTAGTAACGTCCCTATTGGTTTCCGAATTTTTTTTCAGTCCTCATTTTCAAGTTTCATTCGCAAGTTTTTTTTCTCTTTTGACAGAAAAAAAAACTTGCGAATTTAAAGTTTCTAATCAGTTTTCATGTCAAATTCACTACAAATGCTTCTACCAAGGAAAAACACATTTTAAAAGATCTTATTCTTTACTTAATTTTTAGTTTGGCGAAATGTTGAGCTTCTTATGGACAAATGAAACAGAAGGAATTGGGATCCCTTCAATTCAATTGAGTTAATAGTGAAGTCCACAAACAAGAAAGCTTCTAAGTGGAAACAAAGTGATAGATATTTTGTAACATTTATTTTTTCTCTTTTTACCCATTTTTTGGCATCAGATTCCCTCATGACTTGAGAGAATTAATCTCTTCCAAACCACATATTCCTGCTTCTCTCCTCTTTGTATCTTTCTTCTTGCACTAGTACCAAAATTTCATTTATCATGAAGAGAACTTTTTTAAGATGGTGAAGAACCCATTTGGTCATACAGTCATAGTAGCTTGGAAGATGCATATCTCCTATAAATTTCTTAGGAACATACTTGAATTGATGTGTAACGTTTTAGATGTGGTGTATAACCTGATGTGCTTATAGAAGTTGTGTCTTGATGTTTGGTTTTTGGATGAAGAAGTTAACTATCATATATAAGTTACAAATACTTAAGATCCATTTGATTTATATAGTGGAGACAGTGAGAACGAAGATAATGATGAAGATATGGATGTTGGTCCAAGCAAACAGGATGATGAAGTTGCCCAAGCATTATCTGTGGCAGATGCGCTGGGAAAGACATCAGAAGAAAAATTTGATGATATAACTGCCGGCTTAAGGGAGCTTGACATGGAAAATTATGATGAAGAGGAAGAAGGTATGCTGGACTGATTTTGTTAAATTATTACAGAGCTGGTATGAGATGCTCTTTTGTTTTAAGCATGAGCAGTAATGGAGTTGCAATTTGCAAGGATAATGTGAAAGAGAAAGCATTGCTCTTTCTTCTATGCCTGTCCCTTTTGGGTGTTATATTAAACACAGCGTAATATACCTGATTCATAGTGTACGTATTATTCCTTGAATGAGTTGTATCTTCTGCTGAATATAGGAGTTGAGCTGTTTAGTTCAGGGATTGGTGATCTTTATTATCCTAGCAATGAACTGGACCCATATCTCATAGATCAAAGTGTAAGTGAAGAATACTTTAGTGCATTGCTTTCTATCTCTCATCACATGTCTTTTGTTATGCTCAAACATCACTGCACTTTACATAATTCAGGATGATGACTCAGAAGATTTGGAAGACATGACAATTAACCCAACAGACTCCATAATTGTTTGTACATGTAATGAGAATGAAATGAATCGTCTTGAGGTAACTAAATGCTGGCCATGAAATAATCTGCTCTTTCATCTCCCATCTCCCGTCTTCCTTATGAGATAGTAGATATATGGAGCACTAAATTGTCATTTCTATATTTGCTGGAAGGTTTGGATACTTGAGGACTCTAATTCTAGTGAGATAAACATGTATGTTCGCAATGAGATCATAATTTCAGCATTTCCGCTCTGCACAGCATGGTCAGATTTCCACCTTAAAGGGGAAGAAAGAGGTGAGACCTATGGACATTTTAATTGATTCTTAGTTTCTTACAGCATGCATATAGGTGCTTAGTTATTGCACTTTTGTGGTGCAAATGGTCTTTTCTTTTCATTCAGACAAGAAAATGAGAAGAAACACTCTTACTAATTAAGGGCCTCTTTTGTCTGCGGGCAAGAGGAGGTGAAATGGTAGAGGTTAGCAAACTCTTATTTATAATATAATATAATGCTAGGATTTTTTTAAATTAGAAGTCATTCTTCTCCTTTTTTAGGTAAGAAACTGCTTTTAGGGCCTATTGTGGTATACTGGAAACATTTGAGAGAAATGGGAATGGGCTTTAAAAGTAAGTTCTGTATGGTAATGAAAATAAATGGAATCTTGATATAATTGTTGTTTTATATCTGTATTAAATTGATGCGATGGAAGTTTCCACATAAGAAAAGACCAAAATGTCCCTAATTAGAAAATAATTTTATATCATGCATATATTTTTATAAAAAGAACAACCCGATGGCCAGAAAAGAAAAAAGAACTAGAAAACAATGTAAGTTAGAACACAGCCATCCAGCCCGTTGGTTGCCACTAGCCATTCTGTTGCTGGTTGGGACCAGTAGTTCCATTTTTGGTAAATCCCCTCCACCAGGAACCTGTGACTTCGTTGAGGACAATGGGGAAAAAAGGGTTCTAAGGAACCATCCAGCTTTCCATCAACACCCCCTAGGAACGTTGCTTTCATCGTTTTGATGGAAATAAACTTTTCTGGGAGACCATGTCGATGCATACCAATCAATTGTGAGTAGTTAAAGTAAAACTCCCAACTTTTTGTATGTCCTTTTGATCAAAGCCGCTGTATGCCATTAAATTTCTTTTGTCAACAATCAGATAAATTATTTATATGTTTGCATTGCCTGAAATCACCACAATACACATCAATTTATGCTCAAAACTCAAAAGCTTGACTTTACCCTAACTTTCTAATGATAATTACAATATTTTCACAGGTAGCTTCATAGCTGTTGGTTCAATGGATCCTTCCATAGAAATTTGGGACCTTGATGTCGTAAGTGGATTGTGCTTATCAATTCATTCACTTTGCTAAAACTCGGAGACTACTTTGCAGAGTCCCACAGAATTTTCTGTTGTTTTCAGGTTGATGATATAGAGCCATGTACAGTTTTAGGTGGCATGAAAAAGAGAAAAGGGAAGAAGAAGGTCTGTTTGAGATTTCTAATACGTATCCTCAATCACAATGAAATTTTATTAGTCGCCATGATTCTTGAAAACAGAACATGGCATTATAATTTATGTATATAAAAAGATATATAATGGGAATTTAGGTGAAAAAGGTGCCCTAAAGGGGTCACACTTCTGAGTATGGAAACTAATTGGTAATAGATAGTTGAGCAATACTGGCTCAGATACCTGAATCTTCAAATCTACCTTTTCCTGGTTTCATGGACCTTTTTGATAATCAGAATCCTGACACGAAAAGACTTTATTGGTTCTTTGTTGGTGCTTTTCAACTTTATAAAAGGACCTGTGGGCAGTAGTATCATTAGATGCAAATCAAAATAGATGAATTGATTTCATATGCAAGTGAGGCTCTATTCTTTAAACGCAGACATCTGCCGAATGTTCTTGTATTTTGTCAGGCTTTCTTATTTTAGTTTGGATGTTATACTTGTCCCAATCTAAGAAACGAGTTCTTGAGCATTAGATAAAAGATCTAATTGAATCTGTATTTTCTTTAAATCTTTTATATGTAAATTATAGTTTGGCCATTGGATTTTTTATTTTTTTTTTAAATGTCAGATTTCAATTCTGAGTGACCATATTTCTCTGGTTATTTAAGTTTTTTCCTTTGGTGGCAGAAACCTGATAAATACAAGGATGGCAGTCACACTGACGCAGTACTTTCTCTTGCTTGGAATGCGGAATACAAGTTTGTAAATTTATAATATAATCCTGCTTTTGTTCCTTTGTTTGGATGCCTTCTCTATAAAAGACTTCGTTTTTGGATCCCTCCACCTTCTCACCATGTTCCCAACAATAATAATACAGGAATGTACTTGCAAGTGCTAGTGCTGACAAGCAAGTGAAGATCTGGGATGTAGTTGCTGGGAAATGTGAAATTACAATGGAGCATCACTCAGACAAGGCAAGAGCCTAGAACTAAAATTGACTTGGTTCATTCTCTTGGCTCATTTTTTATTTATAATAGAGTTTTCACCTCTATATTCACATGTTGAACAATAGAAATTGTGAAATAATGGGTGGATGGTGGTGATATTTACCTCATAATCTTTAGATAAATCTTCTTTCAACATCTGGAGTGTTCTACAGGCTTCTTTAGATTCATATGATGGCTTGAATATGCGGATGTATCTAACAGTTTAATGAGACTTTCCTGGGGTTTTGATGGTTAAATTCTACATAGTTAAGGACAAAGAAATTTTTCTAATTTGCATTTACTCTATCTTCATGAATTACCTAATAAATATTGAAATTTATTTTTCCGTGACTGGCTTGGATGAGTTGGGTAAATAACTTTCCTGATGTCTTCCAAATTCACTCTGGTTCAACTGCCCTGTCAGGTTCAAGCAGTTGCTTGGAATCATTATGCACCACGAGTTCTTCTTAGTGGGTCTTTCGATCATACTGTAGTCATGGTAATGTTCTGATATCTTAATTTATTCCTATTTTGTCTAATGGTCATGCATGAAAATTTTATCATCTCATAGTTGTATATTCATGTGCGAAGAGAGAATGAAAGTTTGAAAGTCGTGCCTACATGTGGAGATTATTGACACATTTTGTCAAGAGTTTTAGCAAAATGTACATACAGCCTGTCTCTAATTTTGATGTCACAACATAGTCTGCGTCTCTCTCTCTCAATCAAGTTCTCTTGTAGTTATCTTTCCTTTTTGACATTTTCTTTCTTTGATTGATTTGTGTCGGAGAAACTAGAATGAATTGAATTTGAATGACTGGCTTTCTATTTCCTTATGAAATTAGAACCAATGTTTTCTTTGAAATTTCAAGTACCATTCAAAGTTCAAACTCATAACTTTATTGTTTTGTGCAATATTGTATCGTAATTAGTTGAACCATATTTGTCCGTATCATACTTTATTTTTATTTAAATCCTTTCCTTTAATGTTCCTCAATTATGTCATTTTGTGAAACTTGATTTCATACACTTGTGCTATTATATTTATCCATTACTTTCCGTATAAAGTGGACGTTATAATAATGATCCTTGATCAAATATGATGTTTCTGATGTTGTTACGCTTTGCAGAAGGATGGAAGGATTCCAACACATTCTGGCTTTAAGTGGTCAGTTGCAGCTGATGTAGAGAGCTTGGCTTGGGATCCACATGCGGAGCATTCATTTGTGGTTTGTTCTTTTTGAATTTCGTTCTTTCATTTTACTAGCTACACTGTTTCATGTAGTTATTATTTGACAACTAATAAATATAATGGAGATTGATTTTTTTTTTTTTCAAATTGATGTACTTTAATTTTATTATTTTTGGTTGGATTTTTTTCCCCAAAAAATAAGAAATTTGAGGAATCCTTACCCAAGATTTTATGTTAGGTGAGTCTGGAAGATGGCATTGTCAAGGGTTTTGATGTTCGAGCTGCCCAATCCAACTCAACATCTGAACCCACTTCTGTTTTTACTCTTCATGCTCATGATAAAGCTGCTACCTCAATATCCTATAATCGATCGGCAGCAAATGTATGTATCTTCAACGTCTTGGTCAGATTATTTTGTTCTCGAGCACTCTAGTCTAACTCTGCCCTCTTTGACATGGCTTGCAGCTTCTTGCGACTGCATCAACAGATAAATCGGTAAATGTGAAGTCATTTTATCAATATGGTGCATCCTGCATATTGTACATTGGAACATTTTATGACTAGCTACTATTTTATTTTAACAGGTTAAACTTTGGGATTTGTCAAACCAGCCATCTTGTATAGCATCTCATAATCCTAAAGTAGTAAGTTCTTCTGTTTCTTCCTCTCCAGTTCATGTATCTGAATGGCATTATGTTTTTGAAGTCAAGACCAACAGCACAAGCAGTACTGATAGACAATATATGAGGCATTCAACTGCAATTGAAGTGTCGTGTCGTGTGGTGTCTGATGTGCGAGCACTGGATACATATTGATCAGGATATAGACGCATTATTTGAGGGATAGTTGCTTTATGGCACTGATCTTTTTTTTTTTTTTTTTTTAAATATGTTGGTTTTTGTTAGGGAGCTATCTTCGCAATTTCTTTCTCGAAGGATGATCCTTTCTTATTGGCTATAGGAGGCGCCAAGGAAAAACTGCAAGTGAGTGTGTAAAGGCTGCTGTACTGTGGCTTGTTTTCTTGATAATCATTCATTAGTGAGCACAACTGATATACTTTGAAAATTTGCAGGTCTGGGACACCTTATCAGCTTCTGGTGTTTCTCAAAGGTATGGGACCTTGAGCAAGAATAAACCTCAAACTGGGTCTTGATTATGGATGAGCTAGTCAGTCATCTTCCTTAATCCTTGCCTCTCTGCAACATGACTGTCATCATGTTGCATGTACAAAAAAAGTTTTGAAACTTGCTGCAGAGATGACTTGAATCGTTTGCAGTATCTCCTTCTGTGGGATTTTTTTTTTTATTAACTTTTTTTTTCTCTGTGAGATTATCTAAGAGTGGATGTTGTGATTATGTTGTATGATGACTAGTTCTTCTGAGGCGATTCTTTCAGTTTTTCTTTCGCTTGTATGAAGCACATTGTTTGAAAATCTTGCATTGGTAATTGATGCATTGCCTAACTTTTGTCACAATCTTACTGTTAGTCAAGTTGATATGCAGCCCAAATGAAAGGGAAAACAAAGGAGAATGCTTTACACACACACACACTACTTACGGTACTTCATATATGAGACAGATAGATGCTTTTTGCGGTTCTCTTCATAAGTTTCAAATTTAGTTGATGCATTTTTTCCTATTTTATTTTTAATTATTTATTTTTTCTTCTTTGCTATACTCTTTCCTATCACATTTCTTAACATATTCTCTTTCATCTTTTTTCTCATTTATTATGTGAGCATATTTGAGAACAAAAGTATGTTTCTAACTTATTACTTTGAACTGATTTTAACTAATAGTTTGTTACTTGTGAATTAGTTATTTAAATTCTATAATATAGATCAGAGAGAATAACTGATTTGTGAATATTAAAGAAATTCATTAAATTATTTATTTATAATAAATTTATGTTATCTTTCTGGAAATATCTTTGTTAGTCATGTGTATTAGAATGAAAACTTTTTAATTTGTGTAATCACCATGTGGACTGTTTTGGGTGAAAAATAAATAAATATAAGTGACAAAGTAGATCAATTTTTATATTTAGAATCAGAAGTAATATGTATGATGAGGATATGCACCTTTCTATTGGAGATCTGTTTGACGTGCTATTATGGGTATATCCATATATCCCAACAGGAAAGGAAGGATGCATTCAGCAACTATGAATGACCTACTGATTCTGAATGTATACTGTAAATTAGAGCGCACATATTGTCACAGAACAACACTGGACCAATTTTTTTAATGATTTAATTATAGGAATATACAGAAATGATACTCTAAGAGTTAGAACAAACATTAGAAAAATCAAAATTCAAAACATTGTACGGTGACCCTCTCCATCCCCTTTTTCAGTTATAGATCCTAACTGGTGGCAAGACAATACAAACATGTTTCAAAAATGCTGAACTTTGTTGTTGGGTTTAATATCTACTAGTTTCTTTGGTCGAAAAGAAAATCTACTGGCAGAATCTCTTGGTCGTTCATGTGCAAAACAACACGCAAAGGCTGTGACTGCCTGAAATTCAATTACAACGGCAAGGTATAACGTAGGAGTTTTTCAAAAGGATGTGCTTGTCACCTGATTCGACCAACTTTCATCTTTCACAGCTAACAACTCAGCGGGTATTTGGCAATTGTTCAAAAAGTGTTTTTGGATCTCAAACCATGATTTGGTTCCAAAAGTATCCAAACATCTCAATTTTTGACAAAATCACAGTTTGGGTCAAAACCGTGGTTTTGGAGAAAGCGAAAAAATGTTGCTTTTGGAACTCAAAAACTGGTCGTTGGAGAGCTTGGATCTTGTAGAGCCGCCTATTGTCCCTCCTTACAAGAGAGCCCTTGAGTTGAAAAAGGCCTCCACTCAGAGAATCCCACAACTTGATGATAGTCCAAGCTTCTAACCGTTCATATTTATTTAATTTTGTAAAAAAATGTTGGGACATTTCATATTTATAATCTTTAAGGTGAAATAATATGTTTCTGTTAGCAAAAAATCATTTTTTCCAAAAACATTTTTAATCTTATATTTTATAAATATATACACATACTAACAATTAATTATATTTTTTTATGTTTCATTTATTATAAGCAACTTTGTACTCTATTACGTAGGTCACAAAATTAGTTAAAGATAATAAATGGGTAGAAATTGCAATTTTTTTCTTCCAAATACCCTTATTTATAAAGGAGAGAGAGTATAAAAAGAGAATAAAAAATTATTATAATAAAGAGAACTGCAAAAGAGAGACAATGTGTGATGGAGAGAGGTGATAATTTGAAAAATAAGATAAGAAATATATTCAATATTAAAATAAGTAATTAATGGGATAAAATAGAAAATTTGACACAAAAATTTAAGACAACTTGCAAATATTACTTATATTTAGGGGCAAGAGAGAGATGGTAGTTGTTGTTTATAAAAAGAGAAGGAAAGAGTACTTCAAATGAAAATAATAATAATAATAAATCCATCTTTTATATAATTATCATATTAATTTATACACTTTTTGGTAATTTATATTTAAAAAAATGTTTCTAATAACGACTATCTAAACATTCTTACTTTATCAAAATCACCTTTTTCTTTTTAAACAAACTCTATTCTTCTAAAATCTATTCTCAAAATCACTTTTTTCCTGTAAGTTTTTTTCCTTAAATTATGGTTTGGATTTATCCAAATACCTATAAGCAAACAAAGGCTTTTAGATCCAACATGCATTTAAAAAAGGTGCAACTTTTTCGTTGTAAGTGAGGAAATCTGTACATGGCGAACGTCGGAGGTACAGAGGAAGGGCGAACAGAGGAAGGGAGAGACTTGCTATCTCGCAGCAAAAAAAGGTACGAATGAAGGAGGATGGAACCGAAGGGGATGATGAAATGTCTGAGGATCAGGCTGAACCTGTTTCGTGTAGAGATAAGGTCCTCAATCTTGAGGAGAAAGCAAAACGTGCTACGGAGAGAGGAAGTAAGGCGATGGATGTAGCGTGCCAAGATTGTATTGACAAGCTCAAGGGCTATTTCGCTGACTCCATAGAACATCATGATCATACGAACGAAAAAGTGGCAACAGAAGAAAGAAGGATGAGGCGCCCGACCTTTCAGGTTACCCAAGAAGAATATGAAGCCTGGTGTGCCCCATGGAGGAAGTCGCTTATCCTGAAACCTTTGGGAGTAAGGATACCGTAATTTAAGATGAGACAGAAACTAGCTTATATCTGGAAACTGGAAAATTCGTTCAAACTTCTTGACTTAGAGAATGATTATTTTATAGCATCCTTTTTTTTTGGTGAACTTTTATAGCATCCTCTGAAACGGAAGAGGATTTGAATTATGTGTATTAGGAAGGGCCCAGGATGATAGCTGACCATTACTTATTGGTTCAATAGTGGAGGCTCAACTTCGACCCATGGAACGCAGAGAGCCAGACGAAGATAGTAGTGTGGGTGCGGATTAGGACATGTCCTGTGGAATTCTATAATTGTGAATCTATTAGCAGGCTGGGAAACATGATAGGAAGGACGTTGAAAGTGGATTTGGCTACGTCAATGAGCTAGCGAGGACGGTTTGCTTGGGTATGTGTAGAACTGGATTTACAGCTTGAACTGCTCCCCACCGTGCATGTTTTTGGACGTGAGCTTCTCCTGAAATATGAAGGATTACACCTGGTGTGTTTTCATTGTGGCATTTACAGCCCACTATCGTGACACTTGCTCAGAGCTTGCACAAACAGAAAAAGAGACTGGACAACCTGAAGATGCATCACGTCAGCAGAAGACCTGAGGCTGAAGACGCTTTGGCAGCAGAGAGAAGAATTGCGAGAACGAAAAGGTGAGGACCAGAAAAGAACTAGGGAGGAGGAGACTACACCACAAAGGAATTCCGGTGGCCTGAACGGAGGAGGCGAAGCATTAGAGGTGAAATTTGGGCCGGCAAATTTGGTCAAATGCCAAATTTGGAAACGTTTTCTTGTAGCGGAGTCTTCGGGAGGTAGATCTGGAGTCACGAATAATGGGGATCGCGCAATAGATGGAAGGGATAAGAATCCCCAAGATACTAGGATTCAAAACGGCAGGAAGAGACAAGAGAATCAATGACCTTCTCGGGATTTAGCATTGTTGGAGGAAAACAACAGGCCAGGGGCAAGATTTATGCCCCAAAAAATAGGGGCATTAAACGGTATAACTGGCAAGGAAACTTTTTTAAAAGGTAGCACTGATAAAATGGAAAAAGAGCAAGCCAGGAAATTTGGCAAGACCGTTACTAATGATCGAAAATGGGTACAGGTTAAATCATCCAGAAGAGGTTGACTGGAAAAGAAAATAGATCGGGGCAGCTAATTATTAATGAGCCTGTTAAGCCAGTCCAGTTGTTAGTGGCAAGCCAGGGGGTCTCAATAAATAATCCTTTTGCTGTACTAAAAGATATGGATCATCAGGATGCCATGTCATTAATATCTCAAGAAGAAAACCATGAGAATTCCTCCACATCTGGGCCACGTGAAAAAAAGTACATTAGAAGCTGTGGTTACCCAAACCCAAGAGATGACAGAGGTGCAGAAACTGATAGAATGATCGTACACAGGGACACGGAGATGATTGCGGGCCCTACAGCCCACCCCTCTCAAAATGCTTTTTAATGGATGTGTTATTTTGGAATAGTGGAAGGAGTGGGGCAAAGTCCTCCCCCGGTTTGGTCTGAGAAATAGTCTCAAAACACTGGATTTTGTAGCTATTTTGGAAACAAGAACTAGTGGGGAGCGAGCTAAAGACATAGCCAAGAAGCTTGGCTTTCCCCATGTCAAGCTCGTAGATGCTCATGGGTTTAGTGGCAGCCTTTGGGCTGTTTGGAAGTAGAACTAGGAAAACAAGCTGATCTGGCCCTGCAGGCCCGGTCCTGCAGGGCTTTCGGGCTTAAAAAGACTGATCCTATAGGACTAAAATGTCAAAAATACTCTAATTTGCTAGGCCTGGCCCTTAAGCAAACAGTTTCAAAACCGGTCCGCGGGCTTTTGGCCTATTTAATAAAAAAATTTATTTTTCATATTTTTCATATGTTTTATTAAAAAAAAATTAATAAAATCACTAGTAAAAGACATAAATATGAATAAAATTAAGTCACAAATATAAAAGATCATTATATCTAAATGTTCATCAACATACAAAAAATCTAAAACATTCATTAGACATAACAAGTCAATGACATTAACACCCAAAAGTTTCATTAAAAATAGACAAATGTTTTCACTAAAAAAAAATAGACAAACACTATCATCACTTTCATTAATTGTAAGAATATTTGATTGTACTTCACTAGTAATAGACTCTTCTTAACTTCTAAAAATATCGATTTCTCAAGCTTTAATTGTGAAAATCACTTTGCTGCACAATCTCATGGGAAGTTTGAAATATTTTAGCACTTTAGATTGATCCATAGTATGCTTTTAATGAGCTAACTATGTTATTTTTTTTTTCCTTTTGTTTAGGATGGTCTTCTTTAGCTTTATTTAACTCGCTTGTCTATCTCTATTTAAATATACAGTACAAATTATGATATAATCACTATAGAAAAAATGTTAACTTATTTATTAAAATTTTATAACATATATACAAATTGACACGTATCTGTTGGTTCAATCATAAAATTTTTTGTTTTAATATGAGAAATATATTTTGTTTATTTTAATATATAACTATTAGTTCAACTAAATACAAATTTGAAATTTGATTTAAGATATGGAGAATATATTTTTATTTACTTTAATATCATTAGAGATTGAGGTGGGAGCTAAGAGTGAGTGAAAAACTAAAAGTGAAACTTAGAGAGAAAGAGTATGTAAAATGTTAGGGATTTAGGTTAGGGTTAAGAAAAAAATATAAATTAAAAAAATTATTGTTGGCGGGTTTAAACAGGCCGGCCCATTGTCTTACTGGGCCAACCTTTTTATTTTCGAGCCTTACAGGGTTTGTCCTTTTAAGTTCAAATTCCCTTTGAAGACCTCAAATTATAAGCCCGGTCCTCAACTTAAACAGGCTTAAACAGGCCAGTCTGACAGACTCGGCTTATTTTCCGGGCTCTATTTGAAAGAATGGAGAGTGAAAATTCGATGTACTGGGAACTCATGACCATTTTATTTATCTAAGCATTAATGATGGCCATCGTTTGTCGTTTCTCACAGTGGTTTACACAAACCCAAATCCTGTCAAGAGACGTGCGGCTTGGCAAGCTTTGAGAGAGATAATAGGTACAGTTAATGGTGCTTGGTATATAGGGGGAGATTTCAATGGGACCTTAGTACAGGACAAGCGGTGCTCCCCTTCTCTAAACAGTAGACACGTGGATCGAGAGCTTATCTCATTGGTCAAGGACATGGGGATCATTGATCTCGGATGAGTTGGGCCATACTATACATGGAAGCATGGGGAGAGCGAGAGTCAAATTGACAAGAGTCTTCGGTAACTCCGACTTCTGTGACCAGCACCCAAACATGACTGTTTTCCACCTGCCGTTCTTCCGATTAGGCCACCGGCCACTCCTCCTTAAAACCTCAACGATTGGAAACAGGACCAAGCTATGTGACAAACCATTTGGATTCGTGGCCTTAGGGGTGCTCCATGAAAACTTCAACGAATTTGTGACAAAAAGTTGGAACAATAATAGTGAGTGGCGGACCAACATGGAGAACTTTCAAAAAGAAATGAAAGAGTGGAGCTACAAGGTTTTCGGACATTTGGATTGGAAGGAAACAAAAACAAAAGGTTAAGTAAAAAGCAAAGATAATTAGGAAAACAAAAACGAGAGGTTCTCTTCAGGTATAATTAAGAGAACAATTCAGGATAATCAATAAATTAGATCAAAAGAAAGTCAGTGAGATAGTAGAAATAATAAGTTTAATTATCTACATAAAATATGAGAAACCCTCAAGTTCAATAACATTTAAACCATTAAAACACTTATAATGGTATAAGACTAGTTAATTAAATTCATTAAACTAATAACAAATGATTCAAATTAATTCTGAAAATTATGTTTAAAATTATCTAATTGAATAATTAAACAATTAACCTACTTAACTAAACAATCAAGAGGTAAAGGAATCTAAATTTGCAATTCAAGCCACATTGATAATTAGAGTCATAATAAAGACTCAATTATAAATTTAACCTGAATGTTCATAGATATAGATTTCAGCAAATATCCTAGCACAAATATAATTCAAATATCAATCTAATCCAAGGATAAAAATAATAACAATCTAGAATTAATTTGTTTTATAGAAGTATAACTCATAATTATTTAAAACTAAATAATCTCAAGCTATTGAACTAAAAAGATAAATGCAATCATTCTCTTATAATCTTCAAGTGATAGCCCAAGACTTTAGCTTCCTCCACACTCCTCCCAAATTGTCTCTTAAGCAAGCTCAAACTCCCCTAGATAGCGTGAAATTGATGGAATAATAAAAGATGAGTGAGAACTGAATAAATAGAATGAAGATTAATGAGTAGAGAGATAAGTAGCTGTCCCTTCTTATGAGAGAATGCTTTTTTTTTTTTTTATAGGAGCAAGAAGTGGCTTTTAGATATAAGAATTAAGTCCATGTAAATTTAGTCATTGGATTGTGTTTCAACTCTAAGAAATAATTTTGCACTTTTGGATTTTCTATTTTGTTCTTCCCTGACCTACAAGAATTCAAGTGTATCTATTAATGTAGATTATATTCAAATATAATATAATCCATATCAAAATTAAAGATTAGATATGCACAAAAAAATAAGATAAGGCGTTAAAAAATTTCTAAAAACCAACTTTCCAAATACATGAGAATTGAATTCAAAGAAATAGGAAATATTAATTTCAAATCAAAAATAAGAAATCACAAAATATTCATATTTTCAATCCAAAATCTGTATTTTAGTGAAAAATCCTAAAATCAATCAATTAATCTAATAATATATGAAACATCTCTTTAAGCTTAAGATATTATTCAAATCCAAGATTAATGTAAGATAAACTATATAAAAATTGAGTTTTATTACTAATCCTCCAGTTCAGAAAAAGAAGGTCCAGTTATTCTATATATATAATTCCCAAGACTTTTTCTTCTTATTTTCTAGTTGGAATTCTGCAAATAGCCATGGTGACCCTATATTAACATTTTATGAAGAAGTCATCGTTACTGACAGGTGGATATGCTATTCCTTTAGTCGGCTGCATGTTTAGCGTGACCAAGTCGGCTGTAATTAAATGAAACTAGTCCATGAAAGTGCTTCCATATACGTTATTTTGGTTTTGTTCCTTAGATTAATTCACTGCCCTAATATTTGCAGGTTTATCTGTTCATTTCCCTACAGAGGATTTTTTGATGCCGTAGTCCTGAAGCAATAAAAGGGGCAATCAAAGTCATCTCTTGCTCAAATGCTGGAAGTTCCGATGGTAGCATAAAGAAGGAAACAAATCCATTTTCACCCACTCTCCAATTTGGGGATATAATTTCCGAAGAGAAGTTGAAAAAAGAGCCTCTTGGGTGCATGAATCTGCAGGAATGGTGGGGCAATATTCTGTGAAGACAAAGCAATCACTGCACTTTGCGGCACTAGAGCCATATGGATGACTTCCTACAACAAAAGAAAACGCATTGCGAGCCAGTTGCTAGATGCAATTCTAATGCAAACAGAGGAGAATTTGGGGGAGGGTTACTGAAACACAAAGGAAGAGGTAGGAGGAAACTGAACCGAGATGACTGGGAGGAGGAGAGACAGAATATAACAGGGGGATTTGGCAGAGAAATGGAGAGGTAAGACCTGGAGGGGGAATATGAAGAACTTGATAGGGATAGGGAGGGAAAAGAGACAGAAAATGAGGGTGATAGAGACTAGGTAAACCATGTCAAAATTCATTTCATTATCATCCAAAGTGCCATCTATGTCCTCAAATGGATATTGGTAAACTCACGACAAGGTGGTCTACCATGCCAATCACCATTAACTCCACAAGATTGACCAGTCCTAAGAGAGGCAACCCCAGATTGATTAGGGACGGGGATTGCTCACTTCTAAAGCCAGAGTCTCTTCTACCTATTGGTCTGTCTTTCTAGTAACGCCTCACTCACCTTTCCTGTATTTTGTCTGTGCCAACTGAATTGAGCTCATGAGTATTTCCAATTTGCCATTCAATATGTATGTAATCAATCATAGTGACGAATTGAATGGTGCATCATGCTCAAATGAAAGCTATTCATGATTGACAAATTCTTGCACTACTAGAAGCAAGCATAGAAAATCATGTAACTGGAGCTTTATCACTTGTTGCATTGAGTTAAAGTTGAACAATTGTTATTCATCAATTAATGGTTAACTTATTTGTATCTAACTGGCCCGTATTTTTATATGTAAAATTTGTGGCAGGAAAAGTTTCTACGTGGGTTACGCCATGAACATTCTCAGTTAGCGTTCTCTCAGCCAACAACGGCGGGAATGGCATTAGCATCAAGCTACACTGGCACTGGATAATTCTTGGTGTATAGAACCAATAACACGGGGTCATAAAATTTTGATTACTTGGGGAAGCATGGACGTAATTATTGCGTGATGTTAATTATGGTGCTGATTTACAGACAAAACCTTGGATAGTTTTGAGGGATTTTTTTTTTCATTAAAATTTTTCCTATAAGATATTATCTGAGAACGGATGTTGTGATACCTATTGGAAGCCTCTTCACTATTGTATTTTGTATCGTTACTAGTTTAGAGGCGTTTCTCAGTTTTTCTCACTTGAATGAAGCATATTTTTTGAAATCTTGCATCCGTGGGGGAGACAATGTTTTATCCTCATGGACTTTCGTGAGCTTTCTCCATTAGAGGAGTGATCAGTGATAACTATGATGCAATGTCTTTCAGAGCTTGGAAAAGTCAGGCGCATGCCTAAATTTTATAACAATCTTATTGTCATTGAGTAAGATATGCCTAAACATTTTCTTACCGTCATGACGCAGTAAATTCCTTCATCTACGGGGAGACTTCATCTTTGGAATACACTTTTACCCATAGATCAATGATAGTTAACTATATCAAGTAACATTATGTTCAAGAGAACCGACTAGATATTATCAAGACTATTTGCACCAAAATTATATCATCCGCAGCGATGATAAACAAAAATGATACATTTGAATCATACTTCAAGCCTCAAAGACGAACAAGACAAAATTAAGAGAATGCCATCGAACACAGGAAAACAAAATCAGTATTTTCAGAATCACTCTTCCATTGGACGGTTTTCCTCAGCTTGCTGTTGTGAAACTTGAACTTTGATCTTTGGTAAGGTAAGAGAAGGATCCTGTAGAAGCACAGATGGAGCTTTGACCAAATTGATGCCCTGCTCCAACTCCCTTGCAGCCTCCTTGAGCAGCTTAGCCTTGTTGCCTTTCATCCTATAAGAAAATCCAAAAGAAAGTCAGCCAAAGGAAAAGGTTCAAAAGCACTTCAATACTCTGTATGGTTCAAAACATAAAAATCAAATCTTTGAAAGGGTTTGGTCCCCCCCCCCCAAAGCTTCATTTCGGATTTGTCTAATCATTAAATGTATTTTTACCCCTAATTAATTATGTCTCTCTCATTTCTTTTTTCCACTCATTCTCTCTCCCACTTATGCTGTCCATAAATAAAAGAGTGTTTTAGGAAAATAAGTTGCATCTTTCATATATTTACTGTTTTTAACCAATTCTAACCAACCTTTTGAATTACATAATTTAGTTACTTGATGTTTATATTTTTAACCAGGGGGAGTATAAAATAACAGTAAATCAAGCACTTACCTATTCTTGTGATGTCTCTCCTCCCTGCTAACTCTGATCTTATCAATCTTTGGAATAGCCTTGAGGACATCTTCGGCCAGATTCCGATCATATCTTTCAGGTCTGTTCCGCTTTCTCTCAAACTCGAAGGTTGAATCCTAAGGAAACAAATAATAGAGCTGAAGTTTCTAGGAACCAGAGACATAATATGCCAACAAGATAGTTGGGAAAGCATGCAGGTTTTACCTGTGTCATATCCTTTCCATGCAATCGACGATATGCCTTGGTCCATTTTACTTTACGAGGATTCCTCTTCATTTTAAAGTTCTTGTGGCATTTAGATCGACAAAATCGAAAAATCTGGGAAGGGACAAGCAGCCGCTAGTCAGTAACTCAATGCCGAAGCAACATGTGCTATGTAAATTTAGCCTATGTTGGCACCTTTTTTTTTTTTGGTCTTTATTTAGTAAAGACTTGTGGCTTATTAACTTTATTGATACAGACTCAACCATCATTTTTCACATGTATGTGATCAACATAATCAATTCAAACAGGAGACATAAATCTAACATGTCTTTTGCATTTGCAAAGAGAACCAATTAGACAGCCAATTTGCCCTGGTATTCAGTGAGGAACCAGGTACACGTTATGCCCAGAAGTGAATGGAAAAATGCTCATGCTTCTCAAAGCTGAAAGGGTTACAAATTTAGAAAGTAGCTATCTATTAAGAAAGTCGATTTGAAATAAGCATCCACAATCAACTGATCCAACAAACCAGTCAATTCAAACAACTTTCAATACCTTTAAAACCAAATGGAGGAGTAGATATACACGAGAGACATCTAAAATAAAATTAGGAGAACGTGAAAAGTATACCTTAGCATCATTACGAACAAACTGAATTCCATGTCCAGGGTACATGGTCGAAGAGCAAAACCAGCATTTCTCCAATCTCATTGTGCCCCGAGACTAGAGAAACACTTCTACTGAATGACAGCGATCTGAAATACAAGAATAATAAGCCATAAAAAAGGTAAAGAGAGAAAACACATTTATATATCAATTGCTATCAGCAACTTATGACAACTATTAGCCGCAAACAAGGGCCAGGCTGGGGACAAGTTCACTCACCCTGACAAGTATGTCAGTGAAACCGGTCCTAAAGGGATACAATTGGGCTAAACAGGGTGGGCAGCTCGCCGGGTTTAATTTTTAAACTTTCCTTGCAAAAATTTTGCACCTTTATTTTCCAGTTGTCTGGACCAAAAACATGTTGTAAATGCAATTGGAGACTGAACCAAAAAAACTGAAACTTTTTGAAAACAACAGATAGTTTGCTTCCTTGAACCAAATATAAGCAATTTTCCGAAGTACTAATACTAAAGCAATTCACAGATAGATTATATATCAAAATCACATTGCTTCTGTATGTATTTCCGATTTTCAACAGTTAAAAAAAAAAAAAAAAGGAGGAGCCAAATGATATTCAAATTACTTCTGTACATAATCCGTATATATCTATATATTGTACCTCAGATTTTCGGCAACAAATCAAATCAACTACAACGAATTAGGGGCAAAATGGCTGCATCAAGAACTGTTTCAAAACCTTTTTGCAGAGTATTACGAAAGAGTGGGAAGGACAGAACTGTATTAGGAGATGACATCCGAAGATTACCTCTTCCTTCTCGACGACGGCGAGATTAAAGCGGCGCCGACGACCTTGTACGGTAGAGACTGTAGGAAGAGGCTGGGTGTGGAGACGCTAGCTTCCAATGAATTTCGGGGAAGGTGCGCCTTTCAGTAGCCTGTTGAATTCTGCAGCCTTGCACTAAACGGCAGCGTATTATAGAATTTCTCAATTAAAATATTTTTTATTATATTTAAAGTGGGTTGAATTTTACTCCCTATCATTTTAAGTTTAAAATATTTAGAATTTAAAAATTAGATTATGTTTTAATTTTCTAACATTTTAGCAATTAAAAATATAACTAAAAAAATTAATATTGATATTGGAGATCTTTAACTCTTCAAGTCAACAAATAAAATATGATAGTTCTTCTCCATTCTCTGATTCTTGATTCGTGTGGGAAAAAAGCTTCTGCTCGGTGAATTATTATATCTGGTTCAGCTAAACAACCCAAACAGTGCCTTCTCTGAAAGCAAGATTTGACTAGAACCAGATTAATCTTCGATGCTCTAAAGTGATACACGATGATGTTCCTTTGTTAGGCCAAGCTTCGTCAAATTGTCACGATGGGGTTCTCTCCTCTTTATGTTGCAGCTTGTTCTACTATCTTCTAAAATGGCTACATGAACTGATGTTCAAGGCATGTATCTCTCAGACACAGGTTTCTAGTGACAATATGACTTTACATAAGCATCACCGCGTTTGGGCTGCTTGTCACAAAATCTCTTGGCTTGGGATTTAGCAACTCTGGCAACGGACATGCTTATCAAGGTGAAAGTCATAAATGCAAAACTGGTTGCTTTACAAGGAGGCGTCCTCCCAATGAGCCTCATGATCATATTCAGGATTCTAGCGAAGCTTATGCCAAAAAGCTCCACACATGTGTATGGTTATGTCGGAGATCTTTAAGCTCATCAACAGCCACTTAGAGGTCTATCTTGTAGTGCTGCTTCGGTCTAATATTTTGGAGTCGTTTTATTTTTTTGTTTGTTGTGTTCTTGTTATCAGCATCTTCCATTGGTACGGGTTTTGATGTGTCTTGTGGAGGTAAAATAGTTCTTTATGGGTGACATGCTTTGTGTATCATAATACCCAACAACATTTCAATACCCCTTGCTTTGGCTTCCTCTAAGGTTCTGAACAATCTTTCACCTTCAGAAGATCCTTGATCAACAACACTTCCAATCTGGTTATATAAGGCAGCTAGTATGTTGGTGCATGATAGACGTTTGGTGTGGATTCTATTTTGCTAGGCTGACTTTGGTTTAGGTTTGTACAGGTAAACTGCTGCTTGGTTTGTTGTGGATGTTGGGTTCCTTAAGTTTCAGTTAAGGCTACTGTGTTTCTTTTTTCTCTTTTTTTCTTATTTTGTTATCTTTTATTTTATGTTAGGCCGACCTCTATCTACTGATTGTTTAGGCTTTGCTCAAATAATCTTTCCAAAGCAAATAACAGGCTAACCTTTTTATCTGTCTCTTTTTATCTTTAAATAATATTGCCTTTTAAAAAAATTATGATAAAACAAAATCGTATTGAAAAATAATCTTTTTTGTGTAATTAATCCTTATGCAAAATCCTAATGCCTTTTTAGGTTTAAAAAAAATGCTATCTTCTCTACCAAAGCAAAAGGCAGTTATAATTATAGTAATAAAAATAAAATATTATTCAATATTTTGACTAGACACCGTGTAATTTAGAACAATTTTTTTTTAAAAGACGTCTTATGCAAGCACAAGCCTTACAACGGCTTAGTTTCAGAATCGGCGGGACTATAATGAAATGTAATAATAAAAAAAATGTAATGGAGTGATGACTACAAAACATTTGTTTGGTACGTCATTAAAGAATTCTGAAATGAAATTATCCTTCCTCTAAAAATAAAAATAAATGTGAGGTGATTTTTGTTTTAATGAAATTGAATAATAATTCTCAAAGTAAGAAAATACAAGAGAACAAGAACTTATCTTTTATCAACCTCCACCTGTTGAGTAAGAGGGGGAAGGTGATCAAAAAAGCCAAAAGTTTTCTTCTAACCTATGAAATTCGCTAGTCTATTTACAGCAATATCTTCTCCAAGTATATGTGAAACTATGACCTGCTAGTTGTTACTAGTTAACAATCTATCATCATCAATAACATCTTTGAAAGGATTTTTTTTTAAACATTCTATTAAGTGCAAAAATGGAGAGTATAAATGTCTAAATGTTGATTATACGATCTTCCACTTATAAAAAGAGCATTCATGACCCTTAAGCCATAAAGGGTTTGACACCACAGTTTTCTACCAACAATTGCTGCATTTATGAAATGTAGGCCAATAATGATTTTATTTCCATTAACGTTAATAATAAAAGTAATGAAAAAGAATTGTTTGTCATATAGAATCTCTCCATGTCTGCTATAGATTTCATCAAAATAAATGTGGTATTAGCTGAATCAATTCTGTTTGCCAAATAGGCTGCTTCTGATACATTGTTTAGAAATTGTGGTTTTTCTTCTGCTGGTATCGGATAGTTGGTACTTATAAAAAAAAAAAACCGAAGAAAAAGTGTTGTCCTAAGATCAAGAATCAAGAATAGAGTTTAATGGTATTCGTTTTCTGTCCTGAGATTTAAAAAAAAAAAAGATTATCACGAAAAGAAATTTAAAATGACTAAATCTCAAATAAAGAATTCCTAAAAAATGTATTATTATTTATAAATCTAGCATTGTCACTATCAAACAAAGTTTAGAATAAAGTAATTTTAAATTTCTTTTTACAGTATTCTCCCTCCGTATCATCTCAGACTTGATGTTTTTTTTAAAAAAATCAAACCTCCCACTAAATCATAGTTTTTTTGGTTTTTTTTTTTGCATATTAAAATATTCACATTTGGTTGGTGGATGGAATTTTACGCCCACACATATATATGCTTATATTTTATCATAGTTTTTCAATTTGAATTTTTTTAAAAAATATAATTATTTTATTGCAAATAGGAACTTCATAATAGAGGATAAGTTAGAATAAAAAATAGAAAGAATTTGGAGGTTTGGAAAAAGTGTGAATATTCTAGAATGATTATGTTACAACTAGGTTTGAAACCAGAAAGTACAAGGGTACAAAGCAAAACAATGATAAAACTATAGCATATAAATTTGTATGCTGCAACGAAGATATCCAAGGGAAAAAAAAAAAAAAAGGACACAGAGGACCTACTCTTCTAAGAGTCAAGTTACATACTCTTCTAATAGTTTATACTACCTCGCTCCGGTCTTTGTTGACTAAGTTGATTAAATTAAAAAAAAATTAGTTAAATTAATTATTTATAATAAATAAGTATTATCTTTCTTAAAATATCCTTACTAATCAACTACATTAGATAGAACTACTATCATTATAAGAACTATTTTGTGAAAAAATAAATAAATATAAGAGATAAAATAAAATGAAGTATTATATTTATGATCAAAATAAAAATCAAATAAATTTTTATATTAAGGACTGCAGGCAGTATAAGTAATTTTTTAACCATTATTTCCAATACGAGGTAAGTATCAAAAATTGCTTATAAGCACCTAACAGGTGCTAAATTTGATGACCACAATCCCCGCCTCCACATCCAAGCAACAATGAACTTATTGGTATGTCAAAGAAATTTCTCACTCGACGCTTGAAACACATGTTGGATATGCTCGGATAAAATGCGTGCACAACAACTTCGCTGTCTAAAAAGAAGTTTCAACAATTTACACACCAAATTCCAAACTTCATATGGACACAAGAACGGATTAAAAATGCGTATTGGGAAAATGCTAAAATGCTAATTAATTAACAAACACAAGAATCGCTACCCTGACAATAATTGATACATTCTATTCTGAGTTATGTGTGGTCGATGGCTTGGCTATTCAATGAACCATCAAGGTTCAGCATTGAATCCTTTCAAAAAAAATGACAAAAAAAAAAAACTTCTTGAATGCGAAAAAAAATAAACACAGAGTCATATGGCACAATGATTGGCAGTTAACATATCCTCAAAAGTATGGCTTAACGATAAATACTTCAAAATTACAAATGGCGATCCATACTTCTGAAACAAATCATGCAGACATTCATTAATTCATTAAATGACTATAAGGAGCTCGGAAACTGATTAGGGAAAAAATGTAAAAATCACTATGAGGTTTTAAGGAATAAGAGTAATTACTAAAAAGTTTCAATAATAAGCAAGTAGCATGGACTTATTGTCATTACATGCTCGTCATTTGTTGTGGAATTTTTTAATGTTTACATTTTTTTTTTTAGAACTCGGCGATTTTCTTTTGAAAGAAAACCACCATTATTATATCTAATGTAGCAGCAGGTGGGCATGTTTGCTCTTGAGTTCTTTTATAACTCAAAGCTACCTGATGGACTACTCAACAGGAGGTTCTCTAACAAGTCATGAGAGGCTATTTTACACATCATGAATATGAAGTTCAGCAATCCAATTCTTCTGTTAGCATACATATGCTCCCAAATCAATAATTTGAAGAGTGAGGATAAACATGTAGGGAATACCCTTTCTGAATCAAACAAAGAAGATCGTTCAAGATGCAGAAAGCAAACCAGGGACCGAAGGGGATGATGGAAAAGATGAAGTAAACAAAGAAGACCTTTCTAATTCATTGGTGACCGCAGCAAACAAACACAAATGCATGCGCATGCTCACGAGCCCACCAACCGCCCGGAAAATGGCCAAAAAAAATAGCTACTAGATTTTAAAATAATAAATAAGCAATTTTAATATGTCAAAATTATTACAAAAATAATCATCATAACTTTTTGTCTTTTTAAAATCTAAAAATTATTTTTCGTCATTTTTTCCATATTTATTTTGGTTTCACGAATCTCCCATGACTAAAGGACCTTATGGAATCTTTTCTCTTTATCATCATCTTCCTTAAAATAATCATCACTGTTAATTACATCTACGGCTTAAAAGAATATGTCATACTCCCAATGTGCCACCGCCATCATGCCCTGATCAGTTATCCCCTATGTTAGCCTGCATGTCACGACTCTCTCACAGTCTCACTTTTATATTAATTATTTTTAAAA